TACCTTATCAAAAAAATGTTATGAGGACAAGATGATCTGCAAAAAAACTGATTTTTTTTTTTCTTTCTAGTGCGCATGGTCCTATTGTGCACTATTCTACACTCAGCCGAAATCAGTAAATTGTGAGGAAACAACTTACTAGGTTACCTGTGTTGTCAACATTGTGGTTGGACAATCAGTAACAAAACTATTGGAGTACTGTGGTCCCTGGATGCCTGTATTGGCTCTGTGCAGAGAGGGTATTAACTGGCTTTTGGTAAAATAATAGGCAGTAAGAGATGAAAAGGAGCATCCAAGATCTGGAAAAATAGCTGAGTTAGTTTCCAAAATGATATATGGTGCATGTGTGACCACAGAGCAGCAAACTTTCATATGTACTATTGACCCAGAGCTGCTGTGTACATGGATTTTTGTGAGTCATGTGCTGCCATCAAGTTAAGTTCTTATGTGGTCACACAGTTATTACAGTGAGGATTTATACATCCTAAAGAGACAAATCAAAGAATGGCTGAAATGTTGTGTTCAAAAAGGAAGAACTGTGTTCTATTCCTGTTTTTACAAAACTCTGAAATCTCTCTGCTTCCCCTCTTAGTGATATTGATTTAGATAGATAGATAGATAGATAGATAGATAGATAGATAGATAGATAGATAGATAGATAGATAGATAGATAGATAGATAGATAGATAGATAGATAGAAGTACTTTATTCATCCCAACCGGGAAATTACTGTGCAGTTGCAGCATACACATACACACAGATCAAATTACAATATGAAAAATAAAATAAAATAAGATAAATGCATAAAATATAAAATGTAAGATGTAAGATTCTCTACAGTATGAACATTTTATTTTAGATTAAAAAAAAATCTGCTTTTGTCAATCCTAGTTGTACAATGAAGACAATGAAAATAACATCCTTTGCACTTTTTGACTACTATCTGATGAACGAAATGAACAAATTGAAGACCTGTGTTTGATAAACACTAAAAGGCAAACATATTCTCAACAGTTTATTTTACATATTTTGTTTATTTATGGTCATATTTGGACTATAAAAATACCACATTCCCTCTAATGTAGCTTTTGAAAACGATCTCATTTGAGACACACTGCATGCATTTCTCTCGGTATGGATGGCTGACAAATTGCTTTTCACCAAGCAGCAATGGGTCCATTTGAATGTTCAGGCCTTGAGAAACACTTTGTCAAGAGGTACTAGTTTGAATAATGCTGTGCAGGAATATGTAACAAGGCAGTAAATGCAGTCATTCAGCCCAGGGCAAAGCGCATGGAAGATTCTGTTCCATAAATACAATGGGCTCTTAAGCCAGTCATCTGAGCATAATAATGCATCCTGGACAACACAGGGATAGGCTCACTTCTGTCTCAGTTTATCTTTTTTTCCTCCTTCATCTTTCTTTTTTTGTCGTTTGGTTTGTATTCCTCTGTTGTTTTCATTTTTACTTAGTAATTTGGATCAGGTCAAACAGAAAACTCAGATCTCATTGTTTTTCTTTAGGATGCTAATCATAATCTCATTGACGGTTGACATAAAAAAAGTAGCCACTCAGATAACGTTGTCCATATCCGACAAAGGAGAAGCAGAGCGAGCCATCAGGACACAAACCTAGTTCCTCTTATTATTGAATGAACATCTGTGGTGATTAATGGAGCGGTTCTCCTGGAAAAAAAAACAAAAAAAAAACTATCTGACAGCTTCTGAGAAACTGGTCCACTTAAAGTTGTGAATGTACCATTGAAAAGCGCAAGATGAGCAATAATGGGTTGTTTTAAAGAGTTTAGGCTGATATAAAATGGAAGAAAAATTGATCAGCATCTTGAATCATGTGAGAATTCTGGTTTTTGCTGATAGCTTGAGCTAAGTGACATTAAACTTTCATTTAGAGTGTCTTGAATAAGATCAAAATCTCAGTGTGGTCTTGCCTCATTGTTTACATTTCTTTTTGCAGGCCTTCGATGCATTTATCTACATCTTCTTTGCATTGGAGATGGTGGTAAAGATGGTGGCTCTGGGGATCTTTGGCCGTCGCTGTTACTTGGGAGACACCTGGAACAGGCTGGATTTTTTCATCGTCATGGCTGGGTGAGCAAGTGTTTCAGAAAGCAAGAATCACATTCGTAGCTCCTAAAAAAGAAATTTTAAAAAAAGGCCTAACAGTGAGTCTGTTAGACTCAACACCTTCCCCAATTATATCTTTGTCCAGAGTGTCATTATCATGCTATTATCCATCCATCTACTCGTCCATACCTGTTTCATTAATGCATGCAGGTTGTTAAGACTAATCCAAGATGACACAGAGCTTGAAACAGCACACGGTGTAATTATATTATGTTATTGTTATAGCTGACTTAACTTGTTTGATTCAAATTCTGCAGTAACCCATTTACATTTACAATAGGTAACCATCTGCTATTTGTTGCTTTCCATATAGTGCCATACGACAGTATTCTTGGGTTGTTTTTTGTGACTTGCTAACAAAAAGTTGTGCATAGTTGTAAAATATAAGGAAACAACAGTGTTTATGGAAGTTCTTACAAATAATTCAACCCTCTTTACTCTAATACCCCTAAAATAATAATGAAAAAAAAAAGTTATAGTAGTCCAGTGTGTTTCACTTCATTTGTTATTTGTTTCACTTGTCTAGATTAATGACAAGTTGTCATAATGAAGACATTTCGAATAATGTCAACTTTGTATTAAAAGTGTCATTATTTACCGAATGACGTTTTATGACAACATTCATAACTATTCATGAAGACTTATTGATGTTCATGACAGGTATTATGTCATGTTTATGACAGTGTCATGACAGTCTTATTCAGCCCCCTTCAAATAAAGTGTTACCCAACTCTTTTGAACAACCGAACGCAGCTCTATTAGCAATTTTACATTTCCCTCGATCTCCTCATAAAGTTTGAGTTTGGGTTGCTTTAGATGCTTGATATTTTCTCTTTAATTGGTGAAGGAATTATCTTGACCCCTCTTTGGTAATTTCTCCCAGACTCTCTGAACTGAATGGCCTAAATTGCTCTCTTCAAGTGAGCAACTCACTGCCCAGTGAACTAACCCGTCAGTGCCTTAATAAAACTGTACATTTCATTCCTATGTTTTACAATCAAGACCTGATTGTCTTTTCACAAGACTTGGGCATTTGTACACATATAAGTTTGATAGTTTTGGCTCTGTTGTGGAAAAAGGTACCAATAATTCATTCGTTATAGGGCAAAAATTGTCACAAAATGACTAAATGTAAAAAAAAAAAAAAAAAAAAAAAAAAAAAAAAAAACTTGTTCAACACCTTCCCTTTTTTAAGACAAAAAGGGTCAC